GACCCCCGCGTCCGAGCTTTGGTCGTCACGACACCACATTATCTCTACAAGGATGAAAAAAAAAATATTGATGTCTCCTGGCGGAGTTCGTCATAGTTCGTAACAAAGTTGACTCAGCGCAGCAGACAGCTCGCGACCCCCACAAGGCGAGTACGAGGGGGTCGCGACCCACCGTTTGAGAAAACACTGATCTAAAACGTTCCTTTAACCAAAAGCCAGATGATTTAGATTGCAAGAATACAGATGATTCTAGGTGTCACTTGTACTGTCCAGGAGGGGCCATTCTTCCTTCACAGTTTGGCTTTTGAACTTATCTAAAAAATTTAACCAATTCTTCTCCTTAACAGAAACATAAGAAAGCCTTTGGTTACGCGTAACTTATCGCACATCCGACTTGCGAGTAAAATATTGGAGTGCACAAGAGTATTTGATTTGAGAATCAGTTAGCTTTATTAGCGTTTGCTTTCCAGAATAAAATTACCCATTAACAATAGCATAAGTAAAATTTTCATAAGTAAAAAAATTTCTCACCGTTTGAGAAAACACTGATCTAAAACGTTCCTTTAACCAAAAGCCAGATGATTCTATGTGTTTTTAAGGGGCAACGACAGGAAAACAACACATTCCTTTCGTTCATTTCTAGCCCAAGAGTTGGCGGTGGGTGGTGATGACTAGCTGCCTTCCTTCTAGTCTTACACTGCTAAATTAGGGACGGCTAGCGCAGATAACTCTCGTGTAGCTTTGTGCGAAATTCAAAACCAAATCGTTCATTTCTCCGTGATTATTTTATATTTTTTACTTGGAGTTAGATTTGAAAGATATAGTTAATCTTCATTTGTTTTCTCAAAGTTAGTTATATCCAGTTGTATTTTTAGCTGAGAAGTCAGAATCCAATGTTCTCTACTACCTACGATAACAAGTTTTATGTTTCTCTAGCGACGTATGATATTATTACTTTTCGTTCAGTTTTTCTTGTGCGATACGGCCCAGCAGGGCCTGGTGGTTAGGGCCCTCGACTCGCAATCTGAGGATCGCGGGTTCGAATCCCCGTCCCGCCAAACATGCTCGCCCTTTCAGCCGTGGGGGCGTTGTTATGTGACGGTCAATCCTACTATTCATTGGTAAAAGAGTAGCCCAAAAATTGGCAGTGGGTGGTGTTAACTTGCTGCCTCCCCTCTAGTCTATCACTGCTAAATTAGGGACGGCTAGCGCAGATAGCCCCTCGTGTAGCTTTGCGCGAAATTCAAAACAAACAAACACACAAACTTGTGTGATATTTAATTATGATATTTTGGCACTTGTGTATAAAGTTAAAATCATAAATAATATTCAACGTTAAACTGGTACAC